CCAGGGAGGAAGACGGAGACAGGAGGTGGCAACAGCCATTTGAGAAAGGTCTTCACGGTTCCTCTTTGTGCAGATCTGGGCAGAGCTTTAAGTACAAATCTGGAAGTCGCTTTTTGGGGCCAGGTTCTCAGGGGATGGCTTTGAGTCCTGCTCACCACTGGTGACAGGGGTGGCGGTAGAGTCAAAGAATCTCTGTTGTATCTCGCTCCTTGATGCTTTAACTTGTGTGACCTGAGGCAGGCCGCTTCCCTCTATGAGCCAGTTTCTACTTCTGTGGAACAAGGAACTTGGATGTGCCCACGCCAGATGGCCCTGCTGGCCCCAGAGTCCTCACACCCCATGTGCTTCATCACGTTATAATGGCTTCCCATCCCCAACCCAGGTCCAGAGTCCTAATCTGACGTCCAAGGCCTCAGAGGATTGAGTGCTGACCGCCCTTTCTTGGATTCTGATCCGTAGCTGCTCTGGGAAACCTGATGGGTCAGGAAATGGGCCATGCCAGCCTCTCCCAAGCAGGCCGCACGACGTGTCCCCATCTCCGTGCCTTTGCCCACGCTGTTCTCTGTGCCTGAAATATCTTGTCTGGTCACCTGAAGCCCAACCTTAAATGTTGGGCTCAGATGCCACCTCATGCTGGAAGCCTTCCCTGGTTCCTTAGTTCCACAAGGACTTACAGGAGGACACTCACCAGTGCCTTGGTCACCTCCCCCACACTTTATGAGAACCTGGAGGCAGGGATGAGACATTCACAAACACAAAATCACTGCCAAGTAAGGAGGGTAGAGCCATTCCAAAGCAGGCCTCCTGGCACCACATGCCCACGGGTTAGCACAGAGGACCTGTCCTGGGCTGGAGACTCTGGGCATCAGAAACAGCAGGCACAGACCTAGAGGCAGACTCATACCAGGCCCCTTTCCAGGAGGTAATGACAAACATGGCTACTGTACCTTGACTGTATCCAGTGGGTAGCCGATAATGACACTGGCTGCACCTGTGGATTGAAGAAGAATACCTGGTCACTCAGCCCCTGGACTCCTAGCTTACACTGGCTGGCTCTTGGGACAGGAGAGAGGACTCAGGCACTTGTATTCACTGAATTGGTCAATGCCCAATTGCCGGAGAGGAACCCCAATATGCTAGGCACTGGACCAGGCATCGAGGGAGGCAAAGAAAATGGAGTAAAACCAGGGCTCTGTCTCAAGAAACAAGCACCCCAAAGAAGGGCAGTGAATGTGTTGGGACAACTGGGTATTCACATGAAAAAGAATGAAGTTAGACCCCTCTACCTAGTACCAAATACAAAAATTAACTCAAAATAGACCAAAGACCTAAATGGAAATACTAAAACTACAAAAATCATATACTTAAAACACAGGGAAAACAATCTTTATGACCTTAGATTTGCAATAGATTCTTAGACATGACACCAAAAGCACAAGTAACGAATGAAAAAAATAAATGAAACATCATAAAAAATTAAAACTTTTGTGTATCAAAGGATACTATCAAGAAAGTGAAGACAACCTACAGAATGGGGGGAAATATTTGCAAATCATATTTGATAAGGGTCTAAAATCCAGAATACATAAAGAACTCTACCACCTAAAATAATTTTTTTTAAATATGGGCAGAAGACTTCAATAGACATTTCTCCAAAGAAGATACACAAATGGCCAACAAGTACACAGAAAGATGTTCAACATCACTAGTCATTAGGAAAATGAAAATCAAAATCACAGTGACATTTCCCTTCACACCCACTTGGATGGCTATAATTTAAACAAACAAACAAACAAAAAAGGAAAATAACAAGTGTTGGTGAGGATGTGGAGAGTTGGAACCCTCATATATTGCTGGTGGGAATGTGAAATGGTGCAGCCAAACAGTTTGGCAGGTCCTCAAAAGTTACACATAGGGCCGGCCGAGTGGCTCAGTTGGTTAAGAGCTCGCTCAAGAGTTTGAGCTCTGA